TGAAGTAGGAGCACTGCGTTATCCAGTTGGGGAGCGGGAACTACGCTCACTGCATGCCCTAATGATTCAAGAGTGGGAGCAGAGGCTTGAGCTTACGTTGATGAGGATGGATAAAGAGGACGAAGAGGCATATAAGGCCCTGAGGAATAGTCATACAGAAGACGGGAGTGGCCCATTGTTGGGAATATTCAGGACGAATGGTTTCGAGATGGGACTTTATGACAAGGAGCAGAGGATTGACGTGATCACATACAGTGCAATACTAAAGATTGGGTCTAGGATCAACCACAGGTTCGCAAATTATCTACTTCCCTTATCCGAATGATAACATACTTTTGTCACCAGCTGCATACAAAATGTGATGTACAAATTCGACATACCTTCCTTGTCCTTCCGATTCCATGCTGTGCTCCCCATAAAAGCTGGAGAACAGCTCTTTTTCCATTTTTGCAAAACTGGACAGTCCAAGGCTGAGCGAGCCGCTGAACTCGCCCCCTACGGCATCGTCTGCAATTGTCCCGCTTGTGAAAATGCGACCCCAGAAACAGATAAGCTCAGGAAAGAGTACAAGAAGCTAACAAGAGAATACACGAAGAAGATTCGTCAGTGGCTGTCCCTAGAGACCGATGGAAGTCAAGCTAGCGGTTCGAGCCACAAGATTAACGAAAACCAGCTCGAGCCCATTCTACGCTTCAAAGACGCATTGGCTCAGGAGGGATTACGTTACACAAGAAAATATTGGACGATTTTATGGAATGTTTATTTATTCTATGAAAAGCTCGGAATGACTGCAAAAGCAATCGAATTTCTGGAGGCGTATGGGGAGTTGCAGGGTGTCGAAGAGGCACTTCGTTTTTGAAAGAACTGTATAGTCTTTAGCGGTGACTGTGGAATAAAACTGGCACGAAATGATGAAAAAGAGGTCAAGATGGAAAGGAAAAGAAAGAATTTATTACTGGGGAGGTCCCTTGCGAGAATCACGATAACAATTCCCACACTTCCTGGTTCTCGACTCTTTCCTCCGCTCGTTCTTGGAATGTTAACACATTTTAAAAGCTATCAAAATGGCTTCACACTTCACATTCAAATGTTCTAACTTCAAGCTTCCAATCCGACTTCTGGCCAGTGGTCAAATTTGATGAGGGTGCCTTCCGAAATGGTTGAGGAACGATCGAACATAAACAGGATTTAAAGCAGAACATTCCGAGGCAAGACTATCTTCATTCTTTGACCCTTACTGTCCTAAGTAACTTTATCTTCACCAGCGATGTGCATTTATTTGATCACAACTTTCCTTGAGCTTCATGCTGTGAGGAGAATGACGGAGGAAGACCAGGCCGCGTTCAAGGCGGCCACACCGACGACGGTCGGGAAGAAAGAAAGGCAAACTCATTCTGCTTCTTTTTCAGTTTTATTCTCAACGTAATTGCAAGTTTTGCCATTCCCTCTTTCTCCCTCCATTTCTCTGCCGAGGTCGACATCAAAGCGGGAGAATAGCTCTTCGTCGCTTATTGCCACCCAGGGCGGCGCGGCAGTCCAGTATCGCACCTTACGGTTCTCAATGCGCCTGCTGCAGGCACGGTACCCCGCAAACCGACGCCCTAGGCTCGGATCTCAAACAGCGCATTCAGCACCACCTGAAGATATTATGCTTGCCAGCCGCCTGATAGTGTATTGCCGAGAGCGTGCTCGATCCAGTTGTGGTACTTAGGGAGGCAATGATCGAGGACTCCGAAGGAGTGCTTGCATGTGGCAACGGACTACAAGGTTCTGATGGGCATCATACAGCGAGGGTACGAGATGATCGGGTCAGAGGAGAAGGCAAGAACATTAAAGGAGGAGTTCGCAACGTGTGGCGGGGTTGAGTTACCATGGAAGTCTGCCACTAGAACAAGAGTTTAAACTCTCTCATGATCGACAGCTGCTCACTTTTTCTTGTTCATGGCATTTGTCGTTTCCTGTGTGACCATCCATCGTCGAGCTGTTTCCATGGGGAGTCAATGCTATGCTTGGAGATATATATCTGCGAACTCATGAGAAATTAATGACGGGTTACACCAAAGGTCAAACTGTTATAAAGATTTGCAAAAGACTGGCCGCTAACTTGGAATATAAATAGACAGTCTTCCAAGACGCAAGCGAGTTCAAGCCGCTGTTGTTTCTAGGACCACAGCTTCAAGAATAAAGACGAGATCACTCTGCGATAGTAATTTGGGTCTACTTAATAAGTTACTTATCACCATTGCACAGCATTCTATGATCATCACGGGATGAAGCATAGCCAAAAAAAAATATCGGGTCAAAGGGATTACTGCGGACACGACAACGACAACGTTAACGTACAGGACACGTTCATTTCTCTACGCGAGTCTTTTATATATATTACCCAGCAGTCGAGAGACCGTATCCACCTTTAAAATGGCAGAGTCGACTTCCCTGCTCGCGAACGAAAGCACCCCTGCGTCTAAACATTTCAAGCACGCCCTCAAGGTCCTCACGATTGTCGTCCTCTTCTTGACCATCTCATCCCTCCCTTTACTCATCACAAACTATATCATCCTCGAACATGCACCATTTTCTTGGGCACCCTGGACGGCGCGAAGGTCAAGTATAGAACTTATTACGGTGGTACGCACCCTATCTTTTCGTGTCCGTCCCTTCCTAACTTCTGAATAGATGATATTTTCACTATTCTTCACCTTCATTAGCACGGCCTCCAAATTTCCAACACTACTCAGCTTCGTCATCGGCCTGGTGCTGACGGGCCTCGTCATTGCCATGCTGATTATTGGCACGCTACCTATAGGACCTATTATCCTGGTATGTATCTCTCGTTACCTTGTTGATGCCTATGTCCGTCTGCATGGTTAATTTTTATACAGATGATATTCTTGTTCATCTTTGCTTTCATCTACGCATTCGACTTTCCCATTCTACTTAACATGATCGTCGACGTGGTCCTCACTACTTTTACAATCGTGAACGTTGTCAGATTTATCGGCTCGTTCCCGGAATCAAGTTGGTGTCGATCCTGGATTCAATACCCAAGCCGAAAACCAATATCTTCGCATCCAAAGTGTGGTCATTGGAAGACGGTTTCGACCGTCTTGATGGGGATTATTGCTGCATTCAGCATACTCCTCGCGTATGTTGTCTTCCGACTCTGTTTATTATTATCATTAAAGCCAACTAATTGTTCAACAGGACCGTTTTCGTCATTCGATTGCTACTTCGGAGCATTGCGCTGTATAGGACTAAGTTCTGGAAGAGAGGACTCTATATGACCCTCCCGACAGGCGAAATAACCTTCCAAATCAGTCTTAAAATGTTGAAAAAGGAAGGGGCTAAATCAAGTACCGAAAGCGAAGCTTTACATGGCCCGGTGCACTTGTAACGTTCTGCTGAATTGAATTGTAATCAACATGACTTGGTCTCACTGTATTAACACATTGGATGTCCTATTATTCTCTTTTAATACAAATGGGTTCACAGACACCATACTAGATACGTGGCGGATTGGAGGCTTGCGATAGTGCATGTCCGATAATTCAAACCTCGAAGGATATGTGGAGAATGATAGTAATCATCACAAGACTCTTACAATTTTACCTAGGGTCGGCGCTGGTGAGAGATGAAAATGGAAGACCTGATCTAATTTATCTAATTTGATTTAACCCGTCGCTGTCAGATAACGCTACCACATTCTCTTCCCTGTCGCCTCGATTTCACAACACGCTTTGGAAGCATTATATACGTAGCACTTGACTTTCATTCATCATTGGCGGTGTAGAAGACGATGAGTCTATATAGTTACATGATCATCACATGATGGCGAGGCGGTACACGCAACAAAGCAACATCAGGACAAGCGGTTTACTGCGGATATATTATGTAGCTCTCTTCCTTCCCATCTCTCACAACAAACGCCCATCCACCCAACACTCTGAAATGGCAGAGTCAAGTACTCCACTCCTTGCAGATGAAAACACCTCTCACATTGGTCCTAACGATGATGAACAAAACTCGCCATCCCACTATTTCAAGGCCGTCCTCAAAGTCCTGGGAATCGCTGCGCTCGTCTTATCCGCTCTAACGCTCGCTTTACTCATCGCAAACCAAATCATCCTTGGAAGCGCACCTCTTTCTTGGAGCCCTTGGTGGACTCAGAAAGTGTCTACAGGAGTCATCGTCCTAGTAAGTATTCATTCCCATCCCTCTTTATCCCCAGCTAACGCCTAAATCTTACTTAGATTGTATTTTCAATTATCTTCGCCTTCTTCAACACTTTCTTCAATTTGCCTTTCCTTATCAATGTCGTCGCCGATATTGGCTTCACGACTGCTACCATTGTGAAGGTGGTCAACTTCATTGACGCATTCCCCAATTCGAGTTGGTGTCAAACCCGGTATGGATACCCGGATCGCACACCAATCCCACCTCACCCGAGGTGTGAGCATTGGAAGCTAGTAGCGACTATCTTGATGGCCGTCATTGCTGGATTCATTATACTGCTTGCGTACGTCGCCTTTCCGAATACTTCCGTCAGCAAACTGACTGACGATTCATTAGGACCATCTATGTGCTTCGGTTGTTACTTCGAAGTGTCGCATTGTACAGGAGCAGATTCTGGAAGAGACCTCTGGCCTTAAATTTCCCGACTGGGGAAATCACATTCCAGATTAGCTTGAGAGTGTTGAGGCAAGAAAGCGGGAGACCTAGCGCCACCGAAGGCGAAGCTCCGCATGGGCCGGTATACCTGTAGGAGCTCACCAAATGCAAGTATGATCTCGAGTCCTGCCTTCAGAATAAGGAATTTCCACGTCTATGTAAAATGATACTTATTACAGTTGCTAACGTTCAATGTGTGGTTAATTTAATGTAACCCACACGTCATGGTTCATGGAAAAGAATCGTCTCTCTTGAGTGGAATAAATTGGAACCTGGGCTTCACCGCCTTATCTTCAGGTACTCTTGAAGCCACGGCCTCGGGACTTATATGTGGCCGGCTAGCTCAGTTGGTTAGAGCGTGGTGCTAATACTTCTCGTTAACGCCAAGGTCCTGGGTTCGACCCCCATGTTGGCCATACACTTGGAACGTTGGTTCTTTTTTTCGAAATTCCCTTGAACTACAGTGCCTTGCATATTGTTTTGCAGTGCGAATTTGTGCGTGAACCATGACTAGTGTTGCCACGGTTCGGCTCGCGCGGAATGAGCCGGTCGAGTCGAGCCTTCAAGAGTCGAGTCGAGTCGCACGATCGACTCGGGGGCTCGCGTGAGTTCGAGCCACGTGAGTACCGCTCCCAGGAACACTGAACTGGTGAGAGCCGCGACTCGTAGTCCTAATTAGGATCGTTATCAACTCGTTCATCGATTTATCGTCTCGTTTCTTTTTTCGACTTCATCTGCCTTGTTTTTCCGTCGTTCAAGCAGTGTTGGAGGGCTATCAAGCTTTATAGCTTCGAATTCAGCTACATGACACTGTGTTCCACCATTTTCATACAGTATTCACCCTCGAACTTGCTCTTCATTATCGCTATGCCACTCTGGCGTCCCTGCCGGTTTCTACTCCTATTCCTCATCTAATGAAGATTTACGCGTCAATTTTGATGGACCTGCTCGGTCGCCATTCCCTGGAGCCTCAAGAATGGACTCAAGTGCAACCGTTTGACGATATGAGGCCGGAACATGAAGATGGAGGAGTTGTGCACGGAATGGGTAGGTACCCATTCAGTTGTGCCTCGCCTGTTGCTTCAGCTCGATGATTCCATCCCCCATTTAGAAATGGCCTTCGACTTCGCCGTCTACCCTGCACAATGACGATGGACTTGACTTGATTAACTTGGGCTTTCCTCTAGCTATAAAAGCATGTGACAGTGAGTGCAAATTTTCAGCACTTCAGGCTCTCACCTCTGGTCTCATTGACTGCTCTCTTCTAGCGCTATGGCACAGGGTCGCTCTGGTACCACCAGGAAACATTCAAACAAATCCAATACAAAGGAGCTTCCAAATGGTGCTCTTCAGACCACTTTCCAGGTCGATGGTATGCTGCCAGTCTCATTTGTCCCTTTCCTTGACGTTTACTATGTACTCCTATAGTTAATGCTGTAGGCAATCCTCAAGAAAACTCTCAATCAGGTGGAGGTGGTAACTCAATTCCGTGAGAGGACAATCCAAGCTCACTGCATGTTACTTTCGAAGAACCCATCAAACAGTTAAATCGAGGTTCGGTTGGAGGAGTGGCTGCTCCCACAGGTACATATCCAGACTGTTTACCCTTGTTCGCACATCTTACTGACCTCGTTATTGCTATGTAGAACCACCATTTGCTCCTCCCAACAATGTTACCCCACAACGCACTTCTGGAGTCCTCCCACAAACTCCTAGCTGAGCACCGCCTACATCCCCCGGAGCAGAGACCTTTCCTTCACCCAGTTCGGTATGGGACTCTGGTTCAGAGGCAGATCATAGTCCTGGATGACATCATCAGCTGGTCGGTACACCTTCCAGGAACCCTGGCGAGCCAAGGGCTGGACGCCATAGCCCAAGGTCAGCAGCAGCTCAAAAGCATCATTCCAACAATTGGCGCAAGGACAAGAAGAAGGCGCTCGATGTCCGGAGTTTTTTCTCAAAAGATAGCAATTCATGCATCTTCTGCGAGTGAGTCATCTTCAATACTTAGTTTGTCTAGCCATCTTCAACTCATACATACCCCTTTCTCAGCGAAAAACATTCTGTTAATGCCAACTATCCCACAACTCGATACAGTCTGAAAACTAGCACTCATATTCTCCGCAGGCATCTCTGCGAGTGCCGCGGCGATGAGTGGATAGCAGCATGTGACAAGCTGGGCATTGATATCATGGCGAAAGCAGCCCAGTCCATCATAGTGGATTATTGAAAGTGCCATGGCGAGTTTGTCCCTCCTTCTCAGGATGCTGAAGACTTGTGGCAAAAGTTCTCACAAGAAGCTTTCCTGGATGCTCTTGTTGACTTCGTGACATCGGAAGATGTGGTGAGTGGATCTGTTGATCGCGCTTTCGACATTCCTGATCATCAGATTTAGAGTATCAATATCATGGAATTGCCCAAACTCCGAGCGCTATTCCTCATGCTGTGTGAAGATCTCAAGAACACAGACATTCCCCATCGAACAAGTGTCCGGGAACACATTATGGCCACCTGGGAGAAACACCTGGAAACCCTACAGGCTGAGATGGGGGTGAGACTGTTGTCTATTCATTCATCACACATCTGACACATTTTCTTCCAGGCTGCCCTGGGCAAGATATCTTTCACTGCAGATGTTTGGAGCGACCCAATCTTGTTCCCTACATGGCAGTGACAGGTCACTGGATACAAGTCAAGACCATACATTTGAGTGAAGGGCCCCAGCACATCCTCAGCCTTTGATCTGAGCTCATCGCCTTCCACCATCTCGAAGGCCGCCATAGCAGTGCACATCTTGCGGAGGCTTTCTTTGGGGTCCTGGCACGATACCGGATCCTGTCAAAGGTACGTCATGATCTGTCTTGACGATTCAATCTTTCATTAATATATGTCAGATTGGCTGGGTGACGTTGGACAATGCCAGCAATAATGATACACTCATGGAGTGCCTTGAGAGGGATCTCAAGTCTCAAGGCATCCAATTTGACTGTATCATATGGCACATCAGGTACATAGCAGGCAGTTCGACTTAGTACTAAAAACTCACTCAGTTTGTCTCATAGATGCTTCCCCCATGTTGTCAATCTGGCATGTCAGGCAGTGATCAAGGTCATAGGCATCGAAATGTTGAAAGGCATGGCAACAGGAACATTCCTGGACAAGGTCACAGAAGATCCAATTGGGCACCTTCATGTGCTCATTCATACTGTAAGTCTTCCGTGACGTCAGTGCATATAGTTTACTTATACTCTCATCTGTAGATCAGGGCATCATCCTTGTGCCGTGAAGCATTTTCTAAACTTTCAAAGAACAATTTGTCCAAGAGCTACAATTGTTGCATGATATGGAAGTTCGGTGGTCATCAACCTTCCTTATGATTGAACGGGCTCTGAAATGCAAACCAGTATGTTTCTTCATTTCTTAAGGAGTGAAAGCACTCTGACGTAAATCAACTTTACAAGGTTATTTTTAAATTCCTTGCTCCGGGTGGCGACTTCGATGAGCTTCGCAGGTACGAACTCTCGGAAGATGATTGGAAAGCACTCAAGCTTTCTTGGACATCTTATTGGTGTGTTTTTTTTTGCTTGGATGACATGATTGGGCTTATCCTGTCCTCGAACCCTGTGTCTAGATTCCCCACGCATTTCAGCAGGCTCTCTCATCGGAAAAGACACCAACATTATGCAATACCATCAGCCACTTCCACGCTATCATTCAAGTTTGGAAAGAATATCAAGCTGAGCACCCTGAGTTGTTTGATGTTGTCCAAGCGGCATCGACAAGCTACAGGATTACTATGATGTGACATCTGCCAACCCGACATACATCATGGCAATGGGTAAGTTGGAATTAATCTGTGTCATTGCTATTGATGACACTGAATCTTCCTGCAGTCTTAAATCCTCAGGTTAAGCTCATGTGGCACTACAAGCAGGCACCTGAAGAGGCTCGCAATGCAAAAAACATCTTCATCTGACAGGTTGGTCCTTCAAAATCCCTTCAATGCCTGAATTAGAACTGATTCACATGGTAGCTCCGGCCATATTATCGTCAACGTCTTTCGCAAGCTGCACAAGCCAGGCCACCAACAACACCTGAAGGCAGCCTCGGACCCCTCGACATGGTCCACAAAGTGCCCCCCATCAGGCCAACATCGGACACCTCAGCCTCGGATGCCTCACCAGCAAACTGGAGCACCGGAATCAAATGAAGGACCCAATGCGACATCATGGGCAAACCGGCTGCTTATGTACACCAATCCAGCTGCTGGCCAGCTGAATGGCTCTGCTAGAGTGCGTAGCCTCGAGGATGAGATTGAAGCCTACCTGTTAGATGTACAAACTGCAGAGTCAAGCATCGGATTCTGGCAGGTACGTTGATGACGTGACACTTTACTCTTTGGCATGACAACTAACATTAGTACCATAGGCCAACCAGCACCGTTTTCCTACCCTTTTCCTCACTGCTCTCGACTATCTCCCCATTCAAGGATCTGCAGTCCCCTGCGAGCGCGTTTTCTCATCAGCTAAGGAGACCATTACAATGCATCGCAATCATATGGGCTATGATTTGATGGAAGCCCGACAGATGCTTAAGTTCTCCCATTGGAATCATGGCATCCTGGACTTTTCTGTAGGCATAAAGGTGGAGGAAGAACTTATGGCATTGGCGCAGCTGCCAGATGAGGTGGTTGTTATGAATAGCGACCTGTTTTCAGCCTTTTAATTAGGAGAATATACACCAGTACTTCATGTTTCTATTTTTGGCTTGTGAGTCACGGCTCAGCCATGAGCGAGTCTGAGCCACTTTGAACGAGTCGGCATATCTACAGCTCAACTCAACTCAAGCATGTGATCGACTCGGAAAACCGCAAGAGCCGAGTTGAGCCGAGCTGAGTTGAACTTCGGCAACACTACTTCAGACACTCATTAGCTCAGTGTCCAAGTGACCCACAGAAGAGGCAGAGATTATTGTCAAAGTGATGTTTGCATTCTTCAGTGGTCAGCTTGCCATCCTTGCCAAGCTTGTCAGAGATGAAGTCAGAGGTTTTCAAGCCAGAGGAGTTGCCCAAGTTGTTCTTGCAGTTAGAGGAGGATTGCGAGGACTTGATGTTGTTGTTGCTGTTATTGCCATGATTGTGGTTGGAACATTTGTCAGAGGACTTGTCAGAGGTATGATTGGATGTTTTGTCAGAGGACCATTGTGTGTTCTTGTCCTGTTAGGGCTTCTCACAGATGCATTCTTAGTAATGAGCTCTTGAAGGTCTTTGAGAGTTTGTGGCTTGCCATGGCTAGCCATGATATCCTTGATGTGTTCCACCAGACTGGAGTAGTAGCAGTGTCAGAGAGTGATGCTGTCCCAGCATGAGCAAATAGACAAGTGCTTGAATTCAACATTGTACTTGATGATCCTTTGG